TTCAAATAATGTTGTTTGAATTTCTGTCTGAACATAGTTCAAGCAGGACTGTTTCACCTACAATGCTGGATAAACTCAATGACATGTTGCATTGCTTGAGAGGTATCATCACCGAGGCCATGGCAGTGATCAGTTTTTCGAGTGATTTTACTTGTTGTAGCATAATTAAATACAGTAGCTATGCACAACATTGAAAAGCAGAAATAATTATACTCTGTCTCTTTAACAGCAGATGCACATACAAGTGCACACAGTAATTTTGGTCCGTATCTTTCCTTAGCAAACTGGCTAGAACATGTTAACAGCCACACTATACAATGAATCAATGATCTTGGAATGCGCATTCTTAACAAATTGCACTTTGAGTAACCAAGCGTCAGACCTTTGCATGCAGGGGTGCAAATACTTTCGGCGTGTTATAGTATGGTAATGCCTCTACGTGCACTGTACAGTGTATTGATAGGCGTTTCTTTTTACATTGACTTATCCCCCGAGCATTCCAGTAGGGGGCGATATCACCCCAGGATGCGAAATTCAACAACCACGACCGACGTCTTCAACCACCGTTTTCGAGCTTTAGAAGCAAAGCAGGCTGATACAACTAGGTCCCTTGTATATGATGGCACACTTTAACACACACAGTTCCCTCCTGAAGATACCTGTTATCAGATACGCAGTTCCTGAGCATTAAGCTACCGAGTGACAGAGCTGTGTGTCTTTTAACTGGGGTGCTGCCTACTGGTTAAATCTATTCTAATTACTGGGGCAAGCAGGCAGAAATGTGTTAATGAATCCTTCTAGTATGTAACTTAATTCCTCCAAGGCTCCTCGACTGCCCATACACGTCCCCGAGCCAGAGTGAAAGCATGCGCTGTCCAAAGGTCACATGTCAAGGTCAGAGGTCGCAGAATTGTGACCTTTCTCTTTAGATCGGAAGGGGATTATCTGTATCTAATAAGATTTCAAAAGAGAAAAAACAAAGCATGGTCATTAGGAGTATTCCAGTGTATCTTAGCACAGGGGAGTTGCACAACAGTCTCCGATTCGCACTATATTAGAATACAGAGCTGTGTATGTGGGCGGATAATTACAGTACAGACAAGTGTGACCATATGTGTCTATTTTAATAAGGAAACTTCAGCTGTCACACAAGGTATTCTAGAGACCACTAAGGAATCAAAATAATTTTAAAAGGCAAATGAGGAAACGCTGGAAGAGTCCTTGGTATTTTTCTTTTAATGCCGAACGCGTCGCAAGATTCAAGCTTTCATATGGTTGAGAGACACTTCTGTTGTCTACTTCCAGATATCAGTTCTTGTCTTATACGACCAATAAAGCCATTATAACGAATCTGTATAGTCACCGGTAGTAACTCATTAGAGAAATAAAAACATAATGTCTGCATTATTACAGTGTTTGGTCAAACCAGAGGACGACAAAAGCGTCGCTTATTTAGTCTGGACACTGGACACAGGTAAATGACAGGTAATACCTGTCATTTACCTTTGTGCGTCAGAGTTCAAAATGTATGTTTTGAGATGCTGAAACAGTGAAAAAATGATAACAAATGAAGATGAGAGTAAAGAACCCCCAATTCCAATTGTCAGCCTGTAAGTCGGAATAGCAGGGTCGTGTTAACGAGGTCCAGCAGCGGGGCTGCGCCAGCTCTTCTTTCAGTCGCACAAGCCGCAGCCGTGCGGAGCGCCAGCTGGATACTCCCAGTGCGAGAGACGGGTCCGCCGCCGCAGGTCAATCAGGACTGAGCCAGACCCCGAGACCCGAGACAGGGCCGACGGGCAGAAATCAGAGCCCCACTCGCCGTGCAACTCCAGACGGGAGAACGGGAGTGCGAAAACGATCAGGAAAACAACACATTGGAATAAGCGCCTCAGAAGACCGGGGTCTGCTAAAATGATTTAAGAACTCGTTTTAACAGCTGGAGTCAGAGACGTTTTAGTGTGGGGGTGGGTGAAGCACTGAGATCGGTCTCGTGTGAGCAGAGGGCGGGGGTCATGTAATGGAATGCAATAATAATAATAATAATAATAATAATAATAATAATAATAATAATAGTTTGTGTTTTTTATTAATGGATTATAATGACATTAATATTATACGTATTATAAGTGAATACACGTCTGTTACTCATCTTCCAATACATATATCCTGATCAAACATGAGAACGATATTCTGGTTTATCAGCAACATGTCTAGAAAACAACGAGACTTTATACACACAAACAAGCTGAGTTTACTGAAGTGGTCACTGAATACGAAACAGTGCAGAAAAATGGAGATCGATCTTAGGTAAATATCGCCCTGAAAGGCTCTAATGTTTCTGCCGAGAGAAACATTTAATCCCCACGTCGCAAACAAAATACATTTCAAACAGACTTTTGGTAAAACAATTCACTGTTGTAAAAAATAGATCCCCGGCCTCGTGCATAAATAAGACAGGATTGACAATGGGAAAAAAATAGAAAATTGAATTGCCAGTTTATTTTTCATCTGTTTTCCTTTTAAAAGACCAAAAGCCTGCACAGATCGATCATTACAGTTCACTTTGACATTTCACATGTAAACACTGAAACGCTGTGGGGAAATCTGTATTGCTCCCTGTAAGCATCATTCATTTTCTGAATTAAGTTTTCAGGATAACAGACTTCAGGACTGGTTAAAAATTCAGACATTAAAATGAAAAAAAAATTACCCACATTCACTAAAGCAAACTCTACCCCTCAGCTGCTCCCCTAGTCATTAATTAGGGGACTGTGTCCCAGATAAGCATCTCACCTTTGGCAAAAAATAACATTGCATCCTATTGCGGGTAATTACATAGCAGTTTGCCATGAGTAATGTGATTGATTACCTGTGTCAGCAATCCCAAGACAACCCGTTATTGCAAAAATGATTTCCAAGACAAAAAGTGAGGAACACATGTATATACCTAGAAGAGCAATTGAATTAAAGCTTAAATCTAGATACAAATACAGAATTATAATAGTGTAGTGCAATGAAAACCTTACTGTAGGTGTGGATGCAATTATACTGGATGTGATGCCTAAGTTGACTTGTTGGTATTCATTGTGGCATAAATTAATGTCAAATGTCTATGCATCTGCATTTTAAATCAGTTATAGGAATGTTTATTATTTGAAATTATATTTTTATGCAAAATAAGATTAATTGGACAACAGCAGAAATAATAAGAATATTAAGAAATTACTATTTTTCCAGAAGAGGCAGCGGATTTTCTAAAGGCTTGGTCCTCAGCGCACATGAAAGAGACGCCAACAAAAGATAAGAAATGAAAGTAATTTAGGTAAAAGAAGGGCAGGTACAGTACTTTTCATTGTTTTCACTACCTTCCTGAAAAAAAGTCTTCATTTAGTCAAACAGAACTGGAAAGTAATAACACATCCATTAACATGAAATTAATATGCAAATAGTTATTTCTATCACCTAATATGAATTATTACTGAATTGTTTCTTTAACGTAGGCATTATGGCTGGTGTAATGCATAACTTTCAGTTACACTATATAAACAAATGTTAATGTATAACACAGAGGTGCTTGAACATTTTTTAGCCAAACTAGGTGTCTTTTTGTTGCAGTTATAAAATCCATTTGTGCTCTTGAAACAAAAGCATAATGTATATATATAGACAGCACTTGTACTTTGAATAAACTTTTATGTGTCACATGTAACCAGGTAAGACTCAGGTAACTATCCTCTTACATTATCAAGATACTTTTCTATATTTCCAAGACCCACATGAATAGCATATACCACATATAGAAGAGTGCACATTATCAGTGTTTATGGGTAATCTATCCTTTTAAGGTTCTCATTAGTCAACAGGCGGTATGGCTCATCTGCTGACAAGTTTGTCCTGCTCATTGTGTTTTATGCGACTTGACAAATCCGATACACTCACCTGAGGCAAGTTCACAGAGGTAATTCAGACCTGCTGCCTGGCAGGGTGACATTCTAGAAATTGCACTGTGTCTCAGTTACCTTGGACAGGGTGGAACTGGTGGACTGCACAGTCAGTTGAGACACATTGGCTGGTTGTAGGAGAATGAAGCCACAGACACAGTGGATTGTTAGCCTTGGCTCTTGGATCCAAGTGGAACATCAAATGATTTTCTCAAGGATAAGAGAAAAGTTCATATTTTTGTCTAGAATCAAAATACTGCCACTCAGCTTTAAGGGCTTAGAAGGCCTTAGACATGAATATATCAGTAAACTATTATTACCTTATACACCTACATGACATCTATATTCTTTGGACTCTTTCAGTTCCCAAAATGAGACTCTGGACTATGGGAAACCCTGAGAGATGGCTTCCTGTTCTGATGCCCAAGGGCTGCCCAGCCCATAGCAGATGTACCTAGATTTCTGTTAAAAGTTACAACAGCGTAGAAACTGAAGATGTGGTAGGAGGGGTACTGTTTCTGTTTGCTTTTGGTCTTATTGACAAGATAAGAAGACATGCAAACATAGGTAATTTTCTGGGGAAGGGCTCATATAACGTGCAGTGCACTACCCTGTCTGGAAAATAAATTAACAATAGGGTCATACTTTAAACCTGCATCAATATCTCTACCTCATACATTAGTCAGACCAGCTAATCTGCTGTCAACACATTGTTCGTTTGTTACACAGCTCGCTAACATGAAGACTGAATGTCTTTTAGATACCTTGAAGCTTTTAAAGTGTAGGTAGATGGTTTTCCAAGTAGTACGTGAAGGCAGTTTTGATCTTCGAATGTGCCGACAGTGAATTTAATGGCCAGTCTTAAGTGATTTTCGAAAAGAATTTCAGCTGTAATGTACTGCATCTGAGACGTCTGAGAGTGCTATAAAGAAACTATTTGCTGAAACCGAGCTGATGCTTTTTGCTGGTAATTTTTATCCATCGTTAACTGAAGTATTCATTTCTTTTTGGCAATAAGGGCATATTATGCCACATGACATTTTTCTTCATTGTGAATAAGCATATAGGTAGAGGGCCACTTTAACTGGTAAAACATAACACAAATACAACCTGGTATCATGTGGTAAAGTGAGTGAGATCTCATATCCTACTTTGTTTTTTTTTATTAGTTTATCAACTTACCTGCAAACACAATGTCTTAGTGGCCATACAGGTGCTGTAAGTAGCGTAGCTAGGGCAGTAACTGGCACCATTCCATCTGTCCCAGAAATTCCAAAACAATTTCGTATCGTAAAAGCAGGAGATACTGCTGTAGGAGGTCCGTTTGGTTCGGGTGCCCAGCTGAAGTCATTTAAAGATCTCACGGTGCTGTCTTTAAACGTATGGATGTTACCTGCAGTGTCCTGACTCAATTCTGGGCTCACATGTGGCTTCCCCACAGTTCTGTCATAATTCAATTGGTGAAGCATTTTCTCTACTCCTCAACCTCATCTGCTGTGTAGTGGAGATGTTGGCCCAGAACAGCTGGAGGGTGATGGCCTATGAATACTGTCCCATTCCTTTGGGAACTTGGGGACCTGTTGGAAAGAAAAGAACCACAAACATCAAATTTTCATACAATTCATTATAAATTAAATATGTAGACACTGCATTCTTCTGTGTGCTGGAGATTGAGGACTGCTGTTATGCCTGGGTGTTTTGGGCCATCAAGTTATCAGCATTTTAAGAAAAAGAAGGTAATACTCCATATTATATATGACCTTTGAAGCCAGGACACAGTTAGCCAGGAAGATGGAAGTTTCCTACTCAAACAGGTCACATACAAGCAACTTAACACAATAAAAGTACTGCTTAAGACACAAGCTAAAATTAAACAAATCACCATGTGGAAAGTGTTTATTGTAGGTCTCTTAAGAAATAAAAACATCCATCTGTCTGGGACGAATTCATCAATGCTGTTCTTTTATCTTTTCCCTTCTTTTCTTGTGAGACAGATAGTGTCAACATCTTTCCAAGTCCTCAAAAGAAACAGTAATGGTAAGCATGTGTCACGCCCCCAGTACATAAAAACTACAACCCTTAAGAACCCAGTTCATTAATCTTTCTCGAAGTGCCGACCAGGAATATGACAGTGCCTATTGTGGAAGGATAAATAGCCCAGGTCTACGCACAGTCCCCTGTGGCACACTGTACCTGTCAGAGAGCTGTGCTCACCTACCTAGCCAGTGATTGGAGAATGGGATCCTCTCTTTTCACTGTGGGTCTCAAGGCATTCCTCTCTCGGAGTGCTTTATGTCCAGCACTATCCTTCACAAAAGCAGGCTGCATTGAAACATTTTTGCAAAACATGATCTGAGGGGGCTCACATTCCACCTCCTTTGCTGTGTGCCATGCCTGGCCATGTTCTCCCGGGTGAGTTCATGGCAGCTGCAGGGCCTTTTGTGTTCATGAGGCTGTGGTAACAAGCATAGCTGGTGCAGGACCATCACAGCAGACACTTCTATAAGAAGAAAAGGCGTGATTGTTTTAGATATCTTCTTTCTCTTTCAAAAGCGGTGCAACAATGCCGTGTATCATAATTACCATGATAAAATTACAGTAAAGCCCGTCGAAAGCCGGATTTGTCTTTAAAGGCAAGGTGAAGCTTTAAGTGGTATGATAACAGTGGAAAGCTGTGGTTAAGCAAAGTAAATGTGTGGTGGTAGAGGAGGAAAACAATGGGGAAAATATGTACAAACACGGTGCAGATTTACTGAACGACAATGCAATATCTTCCTAGGCTAATCCATGGCATTAATACCAGCACTTTACTTGAATTTCAGAGCTGTTCCTGTCTGGCTGTTGTGTCACACAGCATCCCCATGCTATTAGTCTTACTAAAGCAGCACATGTGGGAATTTCATGGAGAACACTTTGACTCGGCTGTTTCCTAAATATGAAAGTAGACACCAGCAAATATTTAAATTCACAGCTCTGTCCAGGCGCCTTGAACTACACATCAGCACACATACAGTGCATATTACAGTCTCCTCGGCAAAAGACATAAACTTTGCAAGAAACACTACTGGATGGAAGCCGAGCGGAGTTCAGCTTTTCAAAATTAATAACTTTGCTGCTGGTGAACCTGGAGGCAGAATTTATCTTCTTCGCTCACATTGTCTCACCTAATTCCAGCTTCAGTCCTTGGTAATTACATCTGCGAATCACTCAAGACAGCCAAAAGGCTATACATTGAGCAAAGTACTGCGAGAGACCGGCTGCTGATTGTGAAGTCGAGCATTTTTCACAGCATGAAAGGGCTGCAGCGAAATCTTTCATTACGTTTTGAAACCTGGAGAAAAACAGTGTGGAAAAACCACACTTGAAAAGTGCATCTAATCTCCAGGGGTGCATGTGTAGGAGATTGGAGGTTAAGAGCTCTGGACTTATACCCAAAATATCGTGGGTTCAAATTCTCATCAACAATGTTTAACCAAATAAATTGGAATAAAAGTGACCTCAGAAAGGGTTTCGAGAACCAGATCCTCTTTTTTCTTGGCTGTAAAGTTTCAGTCATTAAGGAAACTGAATTGTATTATGCTATATGTTTGGCAAGGAGGAAGAAAAAGGAAGACAAGTAAATGATGATTCTATATTGCTCCCCCCGTCCCCAAAACAAAATTGTGTGTAACAGAGAAGAGATCATGCATGGCATCACAAATAACACTGCATGACATAATCGGAGCATTGAAGTAACTGTGCCACACCTGAGAAGACTTTGATACAAAACATAAATTCCTAATAAGCAGGTCTCTGTCCCACACTGATAGTTCGATTATCCAAGGATAAGCACAAGCAAGCATTGGGTATGCTGTTATCTCACAACAAGCTGCTGCAAATCACTTTATATAGTATGTAACAGGAGCAACATAGTGAACTTCTGAGACAGTAGAATTCCAGCCATAACATCACTGATGGGGGCACGTTCAGAATGTCAATATGCTAACACAAGCCAGAAGGATCATGGTCAACTGTAATGGCCAAAACACTGCTTAGCAACAGGAGAACCTACCCTCAAAACACTGCTTGGGAGCAGGAGAACCAGTCCACAAAAAGTCATCAGCACATTGTTTGAGTGACCCTGTGTTTTATAATCACTCTTCTTCTTTATAATCACTCGGGTGACTGAGGCGTGCACCCTGTTTTAGAAATCCATTGGAAGTTTCATTGTTTTTTTATGGGCAGGGGGTGGAATAATTCACTAAATGCAAACTAAAATGTACCAGTGTATCATGCTAACCAATCCAACCAAGGGTGGCCGTTGTCTGTAATTGCTAACACATTGGGTCTGAAACCTTTGGTCTGACCCATGTGGCCCCTCTGTACTTGATCTGAGTTTGTTTCTTCCTCTGTCTGAAACTGTGCTCATTCTATCTTCCACAGATACCCCCTCCCTACGCCGACTCTTGGCAGTGTCTGTTTGTGTAGACTCCATATGGGGTTGGTTGTCTCAAGGTCTAACCCCCAGCTTGGGTGCTGTCTGCAAGTAGCCATGGATATATGGAGCCATGAGACAGGAGAAAATAATCACAGGGATGGCGTTTGTGAACCGTGTAAAGAGTCTCTGACTTTTTGTTTAACTTAATGTGCTGGGCATTGGGCAGTACAGCAATGGAAAGGCACCCCATTTTCACACGGTTCTACACAGCGCAAGACCACACAAGACAGAAAGAATAACCAGCGTGTGAAACAAAAACATGGCGCTGTTCTGACAGGCAGCAAATAGAATTAATTGATTAATTGCTCATGTAGAGCAAGCGGAGTCGTTTGTCGCTGTTCGTGGGATCGATGCTAACGCAGTTTGCAAAAAGATGCAGGAGTTTCTCAAGACATACAATTCACTGCCGAGTTTGGAAAAGGAGCTCTCTGGAGGTCTGAAGGACTGTTTTTAAGTGTTTCCCCTTCCTGCTGAGATGGAGCTATTTTCGCACAGAGGACAGGGAGCAACCCGTCACTCAAAGCAGTATGCCGAATGTTCTCAGTTTAATAACTAGGTGGACTGCCGCCCACAAAACAGCTGTGTCTTTCCGCTGCGAGCAGGGAGTGGGAATTTCAGTTATTTGCATGTGTGTTCTGCTAATTTCTCAACACTTGGAACAGGCATGTGAGGCATGTGCAGTGTGCTTTGGAAATATAAATCTTGGCGTCACATGAATTCACTGTTAGTAAATGTGATGTATTGAAACTAATAAAGAAATCAGAATCACGGATAGCCATGGTATAGGATCTTTGTCTCATGAATAGCACTGAACTATATGGAAACTGAATGGAAAAGCCACCCTGCTACCCAGCCCTGTTATTGAAGCTGATTCTCTGGCTTCCTTCAAGGAATGGCTGTACGAGATCCTCTGATCAATTAGCTACGAACTACCAAAAGGAGTTAAAGGGGCAGAATGGCCTCCTCTATTCTGCAGCTGTTCTTATGTTCGTACTGTTCAGTTCAGATCAGGGTAAATGACATTTGTGGTGAGACTTAACTGTGCTGCTCTGCCATTGTTTCTAAATGGAAAGTCATGATCGTTTAATACGGTCGTTCAGGCTGTGCTGCAGGCCTGGCAGACTGTGCGGCTCGACACCTCGACACCAGACGGGAGCCCCCATGCTGTGCTGTTCCTCTCAGCACTCCGCTCCTGTCTCTGACCCACCCGCAGATGTATCACAGATCTGCCTTCGTCAGAGTCTTGTTCTGACAATGGCCTGTAACCCCATCAGCGCTCACCTCTGCACACAATCATGCAGCACCCCACGGCCTGGGGCGGCACGTGCCGGGTGCGGACTGGAGTGTCGTCTGGGACTGGCGCAGTGCCCTGCCTGTGCGTTCTGCTCAGCTCGTTATCCCCGCTAGGTTACCCGACAAAGGGGCTGCTCACATGGTGCGTTCTCTCCGGTAACTGGGAATACGAGAACGCATTGGTGTATCCACAGGCCAAGCAATGCGTGTCTCAGGGTTTAGTGTGTATGCATTAAAAGAAAACAGACAAATGCTTGCCATCCCTGCGGTCTCTGTGGGGTAAGAAAAGACAGATGTGTCTTGCAAAAGTGTTAGCAAATATTTATAACCCATTTGCTTTAATAAAGAAAGCTGAATGTTTTTTAGTTTGCTGTATTTTCCAAATTACTAATTGTAAAAAACGATGTAAGAGATCTTAGATCATGACAGTTATTATAGAGATATATCCATTTTAAACATGTTGCATGGTTTTATTTTATTTTAAAAAAGCCAGCTCATGTGTCCAACTAGACCCCGAGGAAAACAGATGACCTTAAATAAATTGTAATGAAGACAAGGAAGGGAACTTGTGTTACTTGATACAGTTTATATTGCTTCATGATTATCTGTTGATGAACTAGATTTACAGCTGATCCAGGGCTTCTGCATGGGAATTTCGCCCCTAAGTGGCCTGGAGATCTTGCCACCTGTTCTGCTCTTAAGTGCATCTCCTTTTTCCAAAATCTGAGACTTCGGAAAGTGAAGGCTAGCTATCTGCCATTTGTCCTAAAAAAACTGTAAAGACAGCTGAGGTATAATTAGAGTTAATGTAAGATAATTAGGGAAAATAAATATAGATTCTAAGGCCCCAGTGCAATGACAGATGCTCTAGTCACGCTCAATTAGTGTCAGTGCAATTATATTGGTATCACAGAGACCAAGGGTCTTAGGAACACATTTGGATAAACACAAGAAAGAAGAAATAAGACATTAAATGTGTTCGATTTTTCAGTCTCAAAACCAGGTGCGTTCCTGTTTCAGTGATCAATATTGGCTTCATTAAAGGTGTGTTTGGCTAATTTCCTGGTGTTGCGGCTGTTTTCTCGAGCGCTGTGTGCCAGGCTGAGCTGGTGTGGGCAGCAGGAGCCCTCAGGGAGTCCTACAGCTCTGTTTACTGCCTGTTGCCCAGGACCCTTTGTTTCCAATGGGAAAACAAACCTAACGAGTTATAAATCAAGGGCTCTCCATCTTGCAACTGTTACGTTTGTTATTGGAATAACATGTCAGCACAAACTAAGGCCTATATGAGCAGAAATGAAAAAGACCAAAAAAAAAATCCCTTCCATGGCATAGACATTTTTCCATCGTAAATTTGACTGCAAAAAAAAATGTCCTGCTTGTTTATAATAAGTCGGGTTTAGCAGTTATTAGGTGCTCTGGTTTTTTTTTTCGGTTGTTATTCGAAGTGCAGGGTTTGGGTGGTTTCGGGCTCTCATGGGGGGGCAGAATGAAGCCGGCCTACAGGCCACCCATCTGGAGAGCAGCTGATTTTGGGAATGGAGCGCCACGCTCTGCCCCCCCCACCCCCACCCCGACTCGGCTGATGTGTCGGACAAGGTGAAGCCTTTCAAGACGCAGCCAAAACAAGCAAATCGTAGGCCATAACTCTTTGTCTAAGCCGGTTTTGTTTGACCATAAATTACTGAAATACAGTGCTCATGGGATTTGATTCATTTAGTTAAGAATATTGA